TGTCAAGATTTAAAAACGAGATCAAAGTGAATTTCCATCTTCATAACTTAAACTTAAGAAAAGGCATGACAGTGAGAAGAATTAAGCATAAAATATTTCTTTCCACAAATTATCATTGGAGAAAGGTATTATGTGGATTGAATGCATGATGGCTAAATAAAGAAATAAATTTATGAAGGAGAAAAACTTGAAAGCAACCAAGGTCCTCGAAAGCTTTAGCTTGGGACTTAGGAACCAAGCACTTTACTCTGTGATAAATTATGCAAGGAAATGAAATTTGATAATCTATTAAAATGACAGCCTCTATGCCTTATATCTTTCTAATTGGCTTTAAATCAATATACTGTAGTATATACAAAACAGGAAGCAAAAGCCAGAAATTATAAACCTGTACCTTGCGTTCTGGCCCAATCAGTTCTTTCCTTGGTTGTTTACTCACTTTATAAGTATTTGTTAATACCGAAAGAGATATAGGCCAAAAAAATAAATAAATAAATAAATAAAAGCTATAGTTCCTGATCTCTGCAAGTGTAAAGGTTTAGAGGTAAGAAATAGTGACAAGCTGAAGAAAGGCTTGGGGCTGCAGAACAGTGGTGTTGAGGATGACAGTGAGATACAATTAGTTAGTCATGTTGAAAGCAGATGATGCAAAACAAGGCATTTCAGATTCTGAGGCTCAAGATTTACCCCACAGGGAAAGAGAACCACTGAGAATTTCTGTGACATGACTCACTATTTTAGAGGAAAGTTAGGGTTTGGGAAGATCAGTATGGTGTAAAACAGATTTGAAAGGGCATCTGAGACTGAGATCAGTAAGAGGCTGTTGTAATTGACTAGACTTGGGGTGATATGCATTAAAATTTGTATGGAATGTAAAAGAAGGTACATCTTAGAAGGTATTTTGAAAGGAAGAAGAACTATCCAATTTGGTGTTGTAGATTAATTTCTGAAGAAGCAAATAAACTCTTGGATTTCAAGTGAGGAAGACTGGGAGAATGAAGATATTGCTGATGGCAATTTGAAAATCAGAAAACGCAGAAATAGCATATGTACGTATGAATTTATTTGGAATATAATGAATTTGACCTAACAGTGAAATCTTTAACTGGAGATGTCCGGTATATCCAGTTAGAGATGAACAATTTGTCTCAGCAATTAAAGAAAGGAAAGGGAAGTGAGACTAAAGGAGGTAAGAATGAGCTTTGGAAGGTGAGCTAAAAAAGAAGAGATAAAGGAGTTTAAATAGAATGATTTAAACAGACAGGAGGAACCTAAACTCTGCTGAATTAATAGGGCATATCTCTGTTTCCTTTTATAAAAGTAATACAAGTATAACATCTTTCTAGAAACATAAATCCTATTTCGATTATTAGGTCATAGATCACAAAAGCTTAGAACTGGAAGAAACCTTGAATGATACACGAGGGTCTATTCTTCAGAACTATTCCAGATGAGCAGAAAACTACCATCTGGTCCATGAGTACTCATAATCTAGGTTGCAGCACTTCTTCAGTAAAAGCATGTCAGGAAAAAAAAGTCTTATTTTATATAGTCCATGAGTACAGGGACACATCTTTCCCTATCAAATTCTCAGTAAGTAGCATAGTACCTGGAATATAACAGATGCTAAATTAATATTAGTGGAATGAATTAATGTACTGTTTATTCATGGATCTTTACCATAATAACTGTATTTTAAGTGAATAATTTCTTTTTCAAGATCCCTGACATAAGCTTTTGAAAAACTTCCCTCCCTCCCTTCTATCCTTCCTTCTTTTCTTCCTTTCTTCCATTTTTGATGATCAAAGTGAAAAAAGAAAGGAACAAAACCACTTAGATTCAATTTTGGCTATAATACTAGATTTAAAAACGTAAAACAGTAATTTATAAAACAACCCCAAAGTCCAAATCTCCTCCACATTGGTTTTACTCTAGTTTTTAAATAATCATATTTGAGAGTTATGAGGGCTATATATTATTTTCCTTTGCCTTCTCATTCCAGATGAGTTCTGTAGACAGTGTACCATTTGTAGAGAACTTCCTTCTTTAGCTTCATTAAGAAAAATCACTACATTCATCCAAAAGATATTTACTAGAATGCAAGTTTCTTGTCCACAAAGACAGAGACCTTATCTGTCTTGTTAAGGATTTATCACAGTGCCTAGTACACAGAAGATGATCAAGAAATACTGAATGGATGAATGGATGAAAGGCTTTTTGAGTTCCTCTTATCTGTTAGGCACTGTGATAAGTATGAATATGGTAGACTTGAAAGTATAATTTCGGGTATAATGAATGAGCACCAAATCATCCAACTAATTTATGATATGACACACACTCTGAATTCCAAGCTGTGACTATTTCGCAAAGCTCAGGCCATTCCTCTGTGTAATGTGAAAGATATCTATATTTCATTTATTCTTCAAAATTGTTTTAAAATAAGCCAAAAGAAAAAAAAAGGAAAGAAAAATGAGCAATAATAATATCATGGCTCTTAGAAACGATTTCAAATAAATTTATCTAAATGTAAATGTTGGTTCTTTAACTTTGTTTTAGATTTTCAAGGGCTTCTACTTTTTCATTTGACCTTTCTGTTAATTACTGTACTTTGAAGTTTTATCTTCACTAGAAGTTTAGGAGACACGAGAATTGCCTCCCGATGTAGAAATACATTGCTAGACAATGTGGTTTCTTCCTAGTGTTCAAGCTAAGTCTTACTGATACGACATACATAAATCATGTTTACTCCATTCTTGGGAAAAAATGTAACTAGGAAAGTATGTTTCAATTTTCTGGTTCTCAGTTTGTCTAGACCTTTGATAAATATCTATGAGAATGCAAGAAACAGACTTCCCACTTACATGAATGAGTCTATTAAAACAAAAACAAAAGCAAAAGAAAAACAAAAACTATTCTTGTGCTGTGATGCTGGTAAATAAACCATACATAAGCGCACAAATGAGTCTCCAGTCTGTTCATGAGTTTTTGTCCGGAAGTTTTTCAGTTTACATAGTTTCTGTGTGCATGTGTCTATGTTGGGGGAGGAACTTCCTCCTTCATTCTTACTCCCAAATCCTCACAAGTAACACTCATAACTAAATGCCCAAACATTATCCTGGAAACCCTCCTGAGACTGATTACAGTTTCAGATAAAAGCCTTTTAACTAATGGTAATCCCTTTCAGTTAAAATCCATTATTCTTCTAATTCTGACTTTTTGAGTTGTAACTGAAAAAAAAAAAAAGGTCTGAGATAAGTTCTGGTCTTGATTTCGAACTCTTCTGGGCCTCCCAGAGTGCTGGGATTACAGGCAGGAGCCACCTCTATGGCCATCTTCTGGCAGGAAGGCTTGTGATACGTATAGCTCTGTGGCAAAACAACCTGGGCTTGCTGAATGCAAAGATGACTGAATTTTCTTTTCCTTAAGGTTATTTCTGTGTTTTCTTGACATGAGGGCACATAGGAGTTAAACAGTGTTTCTTGTGTTCGACTTCAGGATAGATCACAGGAAAACCACTAGTGCTAACATGGCACTCTCTCTGACTAGGAGCATAATTATTAGTTGATTTTGTGTGATTTATAGCATGGATACTAATCCATGCCATCTGAGACCATCATTAATCTACCTTTTAATGTTTCTGCATCACATTTTCCTTTCATTTTATATTTCTGTGCTGTCTTCGTTCTTAATCTGACTCCCTTTTTTATTCCCTATTTTTTTCTTTCCTTTCCCCTCCAACACTCCCCCTTCATTAGGTTCTATACAACCTACCAGAAGAGTTCACAGACTCTGCTGAGGCAAACAGTGACTCAAATGAAGTGTCTGTGCATCCTTGCAAGACAAGTGAGGCAGGATATGAATAGGACCACTAGCCTAGAGCCAGCCCAATACCTCTCCAGGAACCTTGTTCTGTTCCTCTAATTCTGACGAACTCTTCAATCAAACTGGAAGGCAAGAGAGAACAAACAGCAAGCCCTGTGTCCATTGTTAAGGCTTTAAGCTTTCACCTCACCGATTTCTAAAATGCACTTTGGATGTTTGTTTATTGGTTTTCATGCTTATGCAACTGCCTCATTCTGTGATAATGGAGTCAGGTTATATCAACATTAAATTGACTTCATAGACCCAAGTACCTTAAGGGTATCATTAATTTTAATTTAGAAAAGCAGCAATCAACCTCCTATCCTGCTTCAATTTGTCAAAATCTTTAGTTTTAATTACATCTACAGACTTATGAAAATTGTGATGGGAAGGGAAGGGATTATAGGAAGCTTTTCTTCTGCTTTTCTTTTTTTTTTTTTCTTTGGGTCTCAAAGAGAAAAGAGGAAAGTTGAATTACTTTGCCTGGAAGGCGATGTAACTTGATGCAGATTTTCTTAAAAAATAGGTTCCCTTTTAAAAGTTGCCCTAATGTATCTCATGATTTGCAATAGGAACTAATGTCAAGTGGCTCTCACCTTACCACATCATTACATTAAATCACTTATATTCCAGCTTTAGCCATTTATTTTTGAGCCCTATTTATACCACATTTGGAAGTTATCATTCTCACAGAAATTTTCTGGGGCCATTGGAGCATTCCTTTTTAGGGGCATTTAGGCCCATAAATAGCAAAATGTTCACATGGTAATTACATAATTACGCCTTCTGGTATTTGAACACAGGAGTATTTCCAAGGAACAGAAGTGGCAATTTGAAAAAATTATCAATGAGATACCATAGAACTGGTATTGTCTGAAAAAAAGACAGCATATATTAGCAAATTCATATTAATGAATGACTGAAGCTGGTAGATAAATGAAAAAAGATAAAGCACTGGAAATCAAACATTTTTGTCTCAGTGGCAGAAACTTTTATATTTGGGGTAATGATAGTAATAATATACTTATAAATTTTCAGTTTGTTCTACTAAACACCTCTTTGAAAAAGGCTGAAAGGGAGAATTTGCTGATGTATGCAACAATCCTTAACCAAGGAAATCAACACTCCGTAAAGCCCACACCATCCTTGCAGCATTTCAAAAGCTCCCTGACCTTGACTCCCTTCACAATCAATTTGACCACCTATCAAGGAAGCTTGTCTGCCAGAAGACCCTGTTTTCACTTCCCAGCTCTCCTCCTCCAGCAACTGACTGAAAAGCGCCTTTCTTTTCTCTCACTGACGCAGAACTGACAAACCAGTATCAAGCCGTTCTTTACAAATCAATAAACCGGAAGATCTCATCTACCGTACTTCCAAATCCTACAACATTCCGTCTTCTCTCTTCTTTGCATATCACAGGATAAGCCGCAAGTTATATAAGTAAGTACACTTCAAGTTTCTTCATAAAGGACAGGAGATGGAGCAATGCGCTTCTACTGTTTCTCCGAGTAGATTTGTCAGAACGAGAATTAAAACTCTGCCATGGACTCACTCTACAGTCTCTCTCCCTCTGTCTTATTTGCAGTCTTCTGACCTAGCCTTCCTCTTCTCTCCCCTGCCCCCCTCTTCCCTCATGCCACCTCGCCCCAACCCCAAGGCTGTTTGTAAGCTCCCCAAATATTCGTAAGACTTTCCTGAACTATTTTAGATATTTTCACTCCAAACTTAAACTAAAGCTATTTTGTTTTTTTCCAAATGTGGGTTTACATAGTGCAGAAAACTACAGGGAAAACATCCAAAATACAATGTGATCTTTTACAGGAGAAACAAAAGATTGAATTTCTAGGTCATCATAGAAGTAGGTACACTTCCCTGAGCAATAATCTGAGGTACTTTATGAGATTCTTTCTTTCACAAAAGCAAGAAATCCTAAAATCCATCAGATACTTGCACTGTGCCTTGTCTCTCTTTTTAATCCTCAAGTGAAGCCAACACAGTACAGTGTAATAAAAATGCATATAGCCCCAGGCTTTGTGCCTTAGTAAAGAGAGAAAAAATAAGCTTCTTGACTTAATATGTCTACTGTGAATAATCAGTCACTGCATTTTTGGGATTTCGCTTTATAATCTTAATGTATAGCAGTGAACTCCATATTTATGGTGTGACAAGAATAAAGGATTTTTTCTTTCTTTCTTTAAAACAAGTTGTCCCTATATTTTCCAAAAGAGGGACATGTGTCAGCTTAATTAAAGGAAACGAAATTACAATGGTGTGGGGTCGGTGTATCCTGATTTTTAGGAGTATATTTTTTGCATTTTACCTGAAATTGTCAATGAAGTGTAGGTAAAGTTGGGGCGGAGCCATAGACTATTGAATAATGTGGCCAACATTTGGTTTGAGGACCTTGTCAGTTCTGTTCCCAAATGTTTACCCTTTCCTTCCCAACTGCTGGTCCTTAGCTGATTAATAAATAACCCTAGGAAGATCAATGATTGTTCATAACAGGCTTCTAGTATGGCAGCTGTGAGTATTTGCATTTTAAGAGGAATGTTAAATAATTAAGCCATCAATTACTCAAATACTTATTCAGTGTTTATAGGCACTTTGCTAGGAGAGGAAGCAGAAAAAATAAATAAGAAAACAAGGAGATGATCTTTAGCGAATTTGTAGATTTGATATTTACAAATAAGCATAATAAAGTATCATGGGAAAGATTTTAATGTAGTGCAGTCAATTGGACAGTGCATCACAACTATTTAATAACTTAAAAAAATACAGATTCTTAGCTTAACTAAATAATTTCTGATTTACTTAACTTGAGGCTGAGGCTTGAGAATCTTAACTTTCTTTAAGGCTCCACGGATAATTCTGATGTACAGCCTGGCTTTGGGGCGATCAGTGTAGTGGAAAGGCCATGAATTTTATGAGTCAGGAAGACCTGAGTTGGAGTCCCTTACAAATTATTTGAACAGCATCTTATCTAATAACCTATGAACCTTAGTTTCTTTATGTGTTAACAGAAATACCATATAACACCACCACTAACAATGACAGTAATAACAGCAAACATTTATAGAGCATATACTATATTCCAAGTGCTGTTTCAAGAGCATTAGAGGTATATCTCATTTATGCCTTTCTTATCAGAAGGTAAATTTGATGAGGACAGGACTCAATTTTATTCACTACTGTATCCCCAGGACCCAGGTCAGTGCCTGACTCATAGTAGGCACCCAACTAAATACTTGAAAGAACGAACATCACTATGAGGAAAGTACTATGATAGTGATCATTTTACAGATGAGGCAATGGAGGCACAGAGAATGAGAAGTTATAATGTGTATAGTTGGAGAGATCACTTTCTGGCATTCGGTAGGTACTCCTTTTTCTGATAACTGAAAATTGCTAGAAGAAGTCTAAACAGCTGTGAGGGTTACAGAGTATCTGGATGAAATTAATGAAGGAGGTTGCTTTGAAGCTGGGCCTTCAAAATCAGGTAAGCTTTAGATGGGCAAGAACAACAGAAACACTCTGGGTGATGAGAGCAGAATGAGCAATTTTTTTTTTATTTTTTGGCACTAGTAAAGGCCTGGATGTGAAGGATAAACAAAGAGCTGAATAATATAAGTCTGGAAATGTAGCTTGGAGTCAAACCAGAGCTGTACTTGATTGTCAGGTTTAAGAATAAAGACTTTATTTAGTTGTTCATGGGAACACATTGAAATAATTTTTAAATAATTAATATTTTAAAATTTTATTTCTTTCAAATGCATTCATATGATGATAAAATTCAAGAAAAAGAAATCATTATTTAAAAATCAAGTCTTTCACCATGTCTCTCTAACCATTTTGTTCCCCACTCCCTGGTGGCAAGTACTACTGACATTTTTATATGCTACATTAATTTTTTAAGTTAGAGTAATATTAGGTTGGTGCAAATGTAATTGCAGTTTTTGCCATTGAAAGTAATGGTAAAACCACAATTACTTATGCACCAACCTAAATATCATTGTCAGAATGGTGTTCGTGTTTTAGGATGAATGAAAGCATGGAGAAAGTGAAGAGCAGATAAGCTGCCAGAAGGAAAAACAGGAGATGATAGGGCAGGACTTTATGTGTTCAGTATCAGAAAGAAGAGTCAAGGAAGACTCAGACTTTGACCCTAAGTGAGGAGGAGATGTATAAAAATCAGAAGGAACCACTGACTTGTTACAGCATAGTTTGATGTAATAGCAAATCATGAAATCATGGATGGTTGAGCAAAGACTGGAGGAATGATGGGAAAATTATGAAAGGTATGACAGTGAATTCTCCTTAAAGCCCCTCATATCATTCATTCTCATTGTTAGCAAGATCCCTACCGTAGATGGGCAAAAACAACATATTTAACTAAAAGTGAGGTAAGGCGTATAAAGCATTTAACAGCATCTGTTACAAGGTGAGCACTGAGTAGATTGTAGCTGTTATTTATTTGTTTTAAAAGGTGGGGCTGGGAATGGTGGTACAAGTCTGTCATCCCTCACAGTGACCTGGGAGGCTGTAGTGGGAGGATCACTTAAACACAGGAGTTCAAGAGCAGCCTGGGCAACATAGTGAGATCCCATCTCTTAAAAAAATAACACAAACAAAAAATGTGGTGTCAGAGCAGAATACAAGGGGACGAGTTTGACAGACACATCTTTAGGGGAAGTTCCATATCTAGCTTGCCTTTTTATATAATAAATACTTGAGCAGGCCAGTTGGGGATAACCCATATGATTTAAATCATTTATGAGGACTTAAATCTGGAAAGTATGAGAGGTGGGTTCAAGAATCAATGATTCCACAAGCAGTTTCAAGCACTGCTATGTACACCATACTGTATGTTCATTGCGTGGTAGATGGCAAAGATGGGTCATGAGATATGTCTATTCTCAAGAACCTTTTGTCTTGGGCGGAGATGACTGCACCTGAGACAAGTTAGAGGATTTTTAACTGATAGCCTCTTATGTCATGACCAATAGGGCAATATATATTTCAGGAAGTGAGACAGCAGTGAGGCCAGGAGCAATCTGGGATGCATGAGAAAAGAGGTGACACAGAACATCATTGTCTTAGGTCAGATTCAGAGTATCAACGTCTTGGCATCTCAGGTTCACTGAGGAGTATCTTTTGAACAGGTATTTTGCGTGCCATTGGTGATATAATCTTAATAGTTCAGAGATTCCTGAGCTTTCAAACGGTACCACTTATACTGTCAATTTTTCCTTTATTTAAGTAAGCAACAAGTCATCATTCTCTTCCCATCTTTTTTTTTTTTTTTGAGCCATCTTGCTCTGTCACCCAGGCTGGCGTGCAGTGGTGTGATCTCAGCTCATTGCAACCTCTGTCTCCCAGGTTCAAACAATTCTCCTGCCTCAGCCTCCCAAATACCTGGGATTACAGGCATGTGCCACCCCACCCAGCTGATATTTGTATTTTTTAGAAGAGACAGGGTTTCACTATGTTGGCCAGGCTGGTCTCCATCCTCCCATCTTTTAACCATTTCATGATGTTTTGCAAAGAACTTTCAAAATACAGTGATTAGAATGGTTTGTTTTGTTGTCTTTTCCTTGCTGTATCAGAATTCACTTTTTATGGTTATGTGAATGTAGAGGATTAAATATAAAAGCATTGCATGATTTTGTGTTGTTTCGATAAAAACTGTAAATTTTGCATGCATAAAGGGCTAGTATTGCTATTGCCCCTACTTGAAAATGATTTCAGTGCGCTGAAATCAAACTTTTTCTAGACTCTTCCAAAATAATATTCAACCTCACACATAGAACTTTGAACATCTAGTCCTTGATCTAGGATTGAACACACATTTCACATCTTGGAGAAAACTTTTTTTTTTTTGGTTAGCTGATATTTTTATCCCTTCAGGCATTAACCAGTCTTTTTTCTTTCCTGGCAGCAGTTCTGGAGCTAAATTCCTTGAAGGTTAAAGCATCTATTAAATGGTTCAAAATGTATAGTGCTAAAAGTTTGCTTTTGTTGTGTTATTTTTTAGTAGATGTCTCAGAAAAAACAGTATGTTCTTGCATATGATGGCACACTGCAGTAATTTTTCACTGATTAAAATCTAATTTTGAGCTTTTAGTAATGGTTAAGCATCTCTAATCCAAAAGCTCAAAATCTGAAATGATCCAAATTTTGAAACTTTTTGAGTACTGACATGATGTCACAAGTGGAAAATTTCACATGTGACCTCATGTGACAGGTCACAGTCAAAACTTTGTTTCATGCACTAAAGTATTTAAAATACTGTATAAAATTGACTTCAGGGTATGTGTATAAGGTATATATGAAATATTAATGAATTTTGTGTTTAGACTTGGGTCCCACCCCAAGATATCTCATGAGAAATAAGCAAATATTCCATAATCCACAAAATTAAAAAATCCAAAACACTTCTGGCC